GTGCTTGTAGCGCTATGGGGCGGTATATAAGTCCAATAAATAAATAAATAAATAAATAAATAAATAAATAAATAAATAAATACAGTAATTGCTTATTATAACTAGAATACACTTACTTAAAACCGATAAGAGACTTTAAGCAATTAGAGAAAGTACCGAATGGCTGAAATCCAGTAGTAAGTTGCAACTTGAATCAATGGAACTTATGGAGGAATCACTGATTCAATGGCCATATTCTAGTTGCAACTTGCTACTGAATTTCAGCCCATATTTCTTTAAAATGTAACTTACTATTCCAACTTGAATATAATGAAGTAGAGTAGATCTAGGTAGGATTATATGTAGGCTATGTAGTGAATCAAATAAAGACACCACACAGTTAGTAGACATATTATAGAAGAAGAAAAGAACCCTGGAATGTGTACATATGCATATTTCAACACAATATCTATGATGACTTGCCAGTATCAATATATGATATAACATGACAGGATACGCTGCTTTATGACATTACCAACTGAGATTTATGCTGCCAGATGTATGCTGGCATACATAAGTAATAGAATTCTATCCACTGCATTTTGCTCCACAGAGTTATGTTCATATAAGGGGAGATACACTCATGGAAGAATGCTTTCTATGGGTTGCAACTTTCTTTGCATTCATAAGATGTAATTTTTGGATGGGAGACGGGATTGAGCCAAACTCAGTCTTGCTCAAAAGTCAATGGAATTTAGTCCTGATTGACTAAAATATGATCATTTTTTCCCAAATTCATCACAAAAGGTGATGAATTTCTACCAATATTCAAAATGTGGCATAATTACTAATATCATGATTTAAAATTGTCTAATTTCAAATAAGTATCCAGAATGAAATTTAACCTTGAAATGTGATTAAGGCTTCTTTGCAATTCTTGATCCTTCCATTTGAAAGGCATCAATGGATGTCAAATACTAGCAACCAGAAAATACCACTACCTGCAAAGTATCAAATATGAAATGCCATTGTGCTTCAGGTTCATCAAAAGTAATAACACTGTCAGTTCCCAGCATATATACACAGGTGCGTTTTCAACTGGAAATCCTATCATCACCACTCACTACAGCTAATACCCAGTATCTTTAGCAGTCAGATAACATGGTGACATTGCAGTTGAAAACATTTGAAAGAATCTATTTTGGAGGATGCTAGTCTACACTGATCTCAGAATTTCAGACTTGAGTCTTTTGCAGGTTCATCTGGTAAAACAGGATGTGTTCTTTGGAATGGAAAGCAGGCACTGGCAAACATGCAAATATTTCCAGGAGAAAATACTAAGGAAAAAATTAATTGCAGTTATATTTTATCTCCTACTAGCCCCACTGCCTTCCAACCTAAGGAACCTAGCTTCACAATATATTTACTCCTCCTAAATCCATCATCTTGCTGTCTTGTTTAGCTTTGCTAACTTCTCAGTCTTCCCATTATTACTCTTGCTAACAACATTGCCTGATAGCTCTAATCTTTCTTGACTAAGATTATTTTGGCCTGCAAAAGTATTTTCTCTGTAGATCTAATACTGAAAATGATATGAACACCCTTGTATTGGCATGCTCAAAATGACAGTCTGCTAGGAGCTCAAATGAGTATTGCTTCACTGTTTAAATTTGTATTCACACCAAATATATGTTTTTAAAAGTGCTTGTATCTGAATCTCATATAATATTATTCAAAGGTAGCAAATTTATGGGGCTGGAATTTACTCCTCC